TCATATATCTGATTTACTGGTAGCCTCAAAGCCTTAATTATAAGCGAAAAATAAGAAATGAATTGCCATTATAATATGGCAATAAGAGAAAAGATCGCGCATATGAATTGCAACGCTGCGAGGCTTACGTGTGTCTAATTTGGACTGCTTCAGCTGTGATTGCGCTTGTCTGACCTCTTGTGTCTGGGCGAGAAGTTGTTGATGCTGAGCAAGAAGATGCTGGTGCAGAATCTGCAGTTGTCCCAGACTCAGACCGGCTCCTGCCTGTGCAGCCAATGGCCCTGGGGCTGAGGCCGATCCAAGAGAAGAGGGAAGCCATGATTGACCGAAAGGCTTCTGCTGTGATACCAGATGGGCTGGTGCTGGTTGAACCGACTGGCCCAGTACACCCGAAGGGTGCCGAAATGTAGAGCCCGTGGAGGCCGCAGCAGTTGCCATGGCAGCTGCTGCTGCAGCCGCTGCAGCCACCGTAGCTGCCGCAGTGTCCTGTGGGCTGGACTCAATTGCGCAGGGGCCGGACGCGACCGGAACGGGCGCAGCCATGGAACCGGCTGGCCCAACTCGAGGCCCGGAGAGGAAAGGGCTGGGCAGCCCGAAACCGAGGTGTGTGCTCGAGGCGCCTTCGCCGATTATTGGTCCGGTGAATCGAGTCAGTCCTATCTCAGACTCTGGAACCAGACCTGGTGAACGAGTGGTTGGAGCGAAAAGGAATGGATACTTAGTGAGCCAGAGTAAATACAGCTCCTGTTCAAGATATGTGAGTAGTTTCGAAGCCTAGCTAAAATGAAGATAAGTAGTGTAGTCGATAGTCATCTCAAATCCAAGTTTGCCCTATTGACATACACACAAAAAACGTGATATGGGCAGACCTAGTCTCGCTTATAATGCATGCAGGCCAGTGTGTCGTAGTGGTAACATGTTGAAATGGTATACTGCACCATCCGGGGGTGATAATAAAACCTAGGCAACGTCGAAAACATAGCTCAATCGAGTCTGGATTAGAATAGCCTTCAGGTAACAGTGGAAATTTGAGGCCTACATATATCATTGTAAGAAAATCCTTCATTATATGCGACCTAGAGTGAATATAGATCTTAGCTAAGAGCTATTGGTTGTCTCGTAACATGCTCATACTGAATTTAATT